CCGGGGGCGGGCGGTGCAGGGCCCGGGGCCAGAGGCTGGAGCCAGTGGTGCGGGGCTGGGCGCCGGCGATGTGGGGCCGGGGGTCGGGCCGGGGGTGCTCGGCTGGGGGCCGGCGCCCCAGGGCCCAAGCCAAGCTGGGCGGGAGACACCGGGGCCAGAGCCTCTTGACCTGGGCCAGACTGAGCCGCGCCCCCCCGCCCCAGCTTGCTTGCTGCTTCAGGCTTCCCGGGAACATTTGATTCGTGGGAAGCAGGGGAGGGGAGAGGGGGGGCAAAGCGTCCAGGGGAGGGGGCGGAGTTGGGGCGGGGCCAGGCTAGGGCAGGGGGCAGGGAAGGGGCAGAATTGGGGCGGGGCCGGGGCCCATGGAGTGTCCTCTTTTTGGACACTTAAAATATGGTAACCCTAGCTCTGTGGTGGTAACAGGAAATCAGGATGCCTTCCACCTTTATTTTGAAATTGGCAGGAGCACATTGCAAGTTTCCCCTTCCTCCTGTTCAACAGAAAACCTCTATACACTGTTCTCTAACTCTCACCATAAAGAGAAAATTGTTTTTGACATGTTCCCTATTCTACAAATCTCTATGGGGCTGAAGCCCCTCCCCCCTTGACCACAGGGTATATCTGTTTGTAGGAGAAGTTATAAAGAAGGTTGCACATTAAATCTTGAGCCTGATCAAATGGCTTTTCATAGTGCTTTGGTCAAAATTCAAGCTCTGTGAGCTATAGTACATGCCATCTGCAGTAAATCAGGGCAATCTTCAAAAACCTTACCAAATTTCCCATCAGTTCTGCTTTCACAATCTTGGCTCCCAGTCTGTTCATCTCCTCTTCACTAAGGACCTGGGAAGTCCCATCCGTTGAAGTATGTCTGGTTGAAATACCACAAACATTCACAGCCCAGAGGAAACAAAAAAATATTTACCTAATTAACAATCATTGCACTGGCAAACATGTTCAAGTGCTGAAAGTAATTTAAAGCCATCATAACCACAGCTATCCTTCTACAAATCCTTTCATGGTCACTAAATCTTTCTAAAGGACAAGAACTTTTGAAAAAGATGCGTAAACACGATGCACATAAAGCTAAATATTCCTTTGGTTTTGGGATCTTTTAGGATGAAAGGCACTATGTATTGTGCATTTTCTTGGCTCGAGGGAGCAATAAATAACCAGTAGAAGGTAAAAGTGGGCTATGCATGCAGTATAGCTTCCTGACAGGACAGACCAGTTGGGTCCAAAAAGTTAGTCCTTCCAGCAGTACCAAATCATCCTGCCTGGCAATAGCCAAAGATCCTTCGTCCTCTCTAGCACTGAACTTTGGTCTCCATCTCATAACAATAAGTCTGTTTATAAGCCCTGATGCAATAATTCTGTTTATGACATCATCTCCACAGCAACAAGAAAACCTCCAAGTGGATAAACAACTGGTAGGTTATGTAGTTCTTCATTTCCCAAAGCTTAAGTTGTTCTTAGATTTATCTGCTCAGAGGACAACCTTTGATTATGAAAATATTATAACTGATATGTTAGAATCTACACTGAAAGTTAATTGGTGAATCTCCCCTAGAAATTTTGTTCCTATTCTGAGGGATACAATGGCCTACTGAACTAGGAGTCAAACGCATGAGTCCCAATCCCTCTCTCTGCCACTGACTTACCAAGTGGCTTTACACAAGGTATTTCACCAGAATTGTTCCAAGAGTGAATTTCCTCATCTGTAAAATGGAGTTAATACTACAGAGGGCAGTGGTAGGAATAATTAGTGGTCATATTGTGGTTTAAAGATTGAAAGTGCTAATACTACTACTAATAATTTAAAAAAATGCAGGATAGCTGGGAATTATCCTAAAAAGATATCTCCAGAACATAAATTAATTTATAACCATTAGGAAGACTTAAAAACAAACTTAGATTGCATTCAGCAAAATAATTCATTGCTCTTTTCACTGCTCAGCTACTGAAAACCAAATATTGCTGGGCAGCTGGAACCATTTCCCAGTTACATGAGTAAGGCCATAGAGAACCAGATTGGCTGAAAATATATGAAAATCTCTTTTCCATGCAGACACATGGCATTTTGTGTCCAAATTACTCTAGCCTTAAAATAGTCGATTTATAGCTAATATAGCTGGAAATTCACACCTATAAGATGTGTATCTAGCCAGTAAAACAATTCCTATTGAGAGAGGAATGCACTTCCCACCCCAAGCTGACTGAATAGCTCTTAGCTCTGTTTTTGGCTGTTGGAAGACATGTTCCATTTTGAGGCTCACCCAGGACAACCTTGTTATAGCAGTGTGATCCTCTGTACCCCAAAGTAGCACCCTGGTGATATGAGTATGATGTGTTTTGTATAAAGTATACCTTGTGAGGTATCATTTTGAAAATCTTGATCTGTTGAACATGAATATCCTGTTGGATTTATGTACTATCATTGTATGTGAAGTTATTAAGTATTGCTATGTGTGTTACTGAAATATGCTGTGAGGTTGGGAGATGCCCACAACCAACCTTTCAATTGCAAAGGATCAGCAAGACGTACTGACAGCTCATTAAAGGGAATCCACCCTTCCAATGGCCCTCCCAGAGACTTCTCATAGAAAGCATGTATGCAATGGAGACTGCTTGACCAATAGGGACTGCCTGATCCCACATCACAGCAAAAATCTTTCCAGCAAGCTGGTAGAAAATATAAAAGAGGGGAAGAGACATGATAAATGGGCTTTCCCCTAAACCCTCTCCCCCAAAACACCTGGAGGACAAAGACTTTGAACTGGGGAAGGGTGATCCAGTCCAGTCTGTGTACTGAGGATCTGTAACCTGCTTGTACCATCTGTCAGGGTGAGACACTGCTTGATTCAAATCCTACTTAGTTTGTAGAACTTAGACTGCACGTTTATTTTTGTTTTTAAGTAACCAACTCTGATCTCTATGCCTGCTACTTACAATCACCTAAAATCTCTTTCTGTAGTTAATAAACCTGTTTTATATTTTACCTAAAACAGTGGGTTTTGGATGAAGTGCTTGGGAAATCTCAGCTCAGTTTACAAAGACTAGTGTGCCTCTGTGTAAGTGCAGTGCATATCAGAGTTTGTAATCTGACATCAGCATCACTGTGTGAGAGGCAGCCCAGGCTGGTGGTTTGAAGGGCTCAGTGGTCCCACAATCAAGACTGCACCCTGGGAACCCAGTCACAAGCAGTACTGTCCACTTAAATGAGAGAAGGATATCCTGGAAATAGCATCAAGATTTGGAAATATAACCCTCTTTCAAACTCTGCCTCAAAATATAATCTTGCTCTGACATAGTCACAGTGCTTTTAGCCAAGTCTGTTCATATTGGGGATGTATTTGTTAGAAAGTTACGTATTTTATAAACTCTGAACAAGAATAAACATTTCTTGATCATTTAAGTGTAGGTAATGCCCTGTTGTATGATAAATTTCTGTGTGTGGTATTTATTGTTGCATTTAACTTTTCTTATTTATGTAACATAAAACAGGATTATAATTCTACAGAAAATGTTTATATTGCTCTATCTACATGTGTAAAAAACCTGAGCATAATCCTAATTCACTTGCCACAGTACTTCCTATACAACATTACATAACAGAGAAGTCATTTCAAAAGCATTACTGAATGCTACAAGAATGAGAGCAACCAAACTATTAAAAAAATTAAAGACATGCTGTCATAACAGAGAAAGAATATGCTGCTTAACGTGATGAACATAATGTGCATGATTAAATCCTGTGAGACTCGCAAAATGGAAGATCTTTTAAACAGGTCTCACATTTTAGTCTGAGCTATCACAGGGCTAACCTGGGGAAATTTTTCAAACCATTTCTGCCTGCATTTCAGGGGCCCAATCCAATATCCATTAAGTCAATGGGAATAGAATCTGACCCCAAGAGAGGCAATGACAACAGTTTAACTCCTTATAAAAAGGAAATATACAGAAAAATTAAAGGTTCTGGAGCTCTTGTTTCTCATATCCCCTAAACCTACATATTGTAAAGCAATTAAAACAAACAGTAGGGGTATTACATTAGTCAGAGTAAGAGACATTTATTACTTTGTACATGCTCTCAGCAGAGTTATTGCTTGAATCATTATCTGCACTTTTTCAGCTCAAAAGTATTTTTCTCTCAGCTTGTCTCAAATTAAACTCCAATGCACATAATATTTTAGGCCTATTATTAAGCGTGATTTTCAGCAAACAGCATCCTATCTGGATAGACATTTCCTCTGAGGAGATCCCTTAGGCATCCAATCAGCCACGTATTACTAGGCCTGCAACTTTTAATTAACTTTTGTCATAATTGTCCAAAACTCTGATTTAAAAGCTAAAGAAACTCTGTATTTGTTGGGAGAGAGAAAATTAACAAGTACATTGTCCGTATGAGGCATGGATAATTGAGCAAACACCACCACACATGCACCTTTCATGGGAGATTTTTGGTGGCAGTGTCCATTCAGCTCTAGTCCTCCCCTTGGCCCATTCCAAGGATATATGTAGCTGCACAAATGAACTGCCCCGAGGTCCTTCTCTACTGCAAAGTCCCAAGACGCAAGACTCTGAAGCAGTGAGAAGGGGCAAAAAGGAGGGTGTAGTGGGGCACTCATAAGGGACACATCTGCAAGAAGTTCAGTTACTGCACAACATGAATAATGATGCTGTACTTCAGGGTGACTCCCATGCAGTATCCCTTGATGGAGGTGGGAGCCTCAGAGTCAGATATAACACTGAAGACGAGACTGCATTGCCAGCTGCAGCATCTGCTCTAGAAGCGTGAATCAGAGCATAATATTTGGAAAAGATATGTATTGAGGACTAGGTTGTGGCTCTGCAAATTTCAGCAACTGGGACATCTTTCAACAGGGTCATAAAATTAGATTGGGACCTTGTAGAATGGGCTATCACTCTAGAAGGAGATGAATGTTGGCATTCAGTGGTTTGAGCTCAGTGGTTTGAGCATTGGCCTGCTAAACCCAGGGTTGTGAGTTCAATCCTTGAGGGGGCCATTTAGGGATCTGGGGATTGGTCCTGCTTTGAGCAGGGGGTTGGACTAGATGACCTCCTGAGGTCCCTTCCAACCCTGATATTCTATGATAATAACAAGAGATAATATGCACAGAAATCTACTTTGAAAGTCTTTGGATGAAATTGCAGATCCTCTGGATCTGTCAGCAATTGACACAAAGTCTAGAAGACTTCCCTGAAGCCTGTCTGAGTAGAAGGCCAGTATCCTTTTGATATCCAAAGAATGTAAGGTGTCTCCCTTCCTGGACTGGTGTGGCTTCAGAAAGAAACCTGGCAAATGAATAACCTGATTAACATGGAATTCAGAAGAAATTTTAGGTAGAAAGCAAGGATGAGGATGTAATGCAACTTCGTCTCTGAAGAACACTGAAAGGGAGGGTTTGTCATCACAACCCCCATTTCTCCATACTTCAGGCAGAAGTGTTGGCCACCAGGAAAGCTGTTTTCATAGATAGATGTAGTCAAATCACAGAACTGTAGAGTGATAAGTCATCAATTCCAGCCCCCTGCACTGAAGCAGGACCAAGTAAACCTAGACCATCCCTGACAAGTGTTTGTCCAACCTGTTCTTAAAAACCTCCAAAGAGGGGATTCCACAACTTCCTTTGAAATCCTATTAATCCTTATAAAGTTATTCCTAATATCTAACCTAAATCTCTCGTTGCGATTAAGCCCATTACCTCTTGTCCTACCTTCAGTGGACACGGAAAACAAGTGATCGCCATTCTCTAACAGCCATTAATATATGTGAAAACGTATCAGGTCCCTCTCTCAGTCTTCTTTTCTCAAGACTATACATAGTTTTTTTTAACCTTTCCTCAGAGGTCAGGTTTTCTAAATCTTTTATCATTTTTGTTCCTCTCCTCTGGACTCTCTCCAATTCATCTATATCTTTCCTGAAGCATGGCTCTCAAATTGGTCACAGTACTCCAGCTGAGCCCTCACCAGTGCCAAGAAGATGGAACAATTACCTGCTGTGTCTTACATATGACACTCCGGTTAATACACCCAAGGGTGATATTACCCTTTTTTGCAACTGCGTTACACTGTGACTCATATTCAGTGTGATCCACTATAACCCCCAAATCCTTTTCAGCAGTACTGGTGACTAGCCAGTTATTCCCCATTTTGTAGTGTGAGACCCACTATATGGAGGGACCCAGTCTGACAGCAAATCATTGATAACTACTCTTTGGGTATAGTCTGTCAATCAATTGTACCCCCCTTATACAAATTTCATCTTGTCCACATTTCTCTAGGACACTTATGAGAATGCCCTGTGGGACTGTGCTAAAATCCTTACTAAAATCAAGATATATCACATCTACTGCTTTCCTCCATCCATCCCAGTTAGAGACAGACACTCTCGGTGCCTCTCTTGTTTGGGAGACATCCACCTACCTGCAAAGTGCCAGGTAACTGTCGAACTCTGCTTGTCTGCTTTTATAACTGAAAAGACTGAATACTGCTATAAGAAACTCCTCCCTGATGTTAGAAACCAACTGTTCATCGCCAAAAGCTAACTTATCTGCCCATAAGACCTGTTCATCAGTAACTTAAATAACGTAATATGGGGGAAACAAAGGCTATGTCTTCACTTACAGTGGTGTGCAGAGTGCAGGCAGTACACACATAGCTATACGCCACAGTGAAAGACAGATTGTGTCCACGCTTGTCACTGTGGCACGTAACTACACACTGCACTGAAAGGCTCCAGCAGCGGGGTGATGGGGGGAAAGCTCTGGCAAAGGGGAGATAGTGGGACACTACACTGCTAAAAATTGCAGTGTAAATATGGGAGGCACTGCTTGGGCGTGTGGGAGCATGTAGGATATATACCCAAGGAGTTCAGGAGTGTAGAGCACTCTAATTGCCTAAGCAGTGCCTAACCATCTACACCGCTATTTATACCTGTGCTACCTGGGCGGGCAGTGCCTGTACTCTACACACTGTCATAACTGTAGACATTCCTAAAGAAATCACTATTTTCATCAATTCCTCTTTCTATCTGGACTCTTCTTATCAGCCTCCTCACATGTTCTTGTTGCTGAGCACTTCATTGCTTGCCCACTTTTCCTACATTTATTAAATTCTTCAAACTTAGATTTCATTTGGGCCTTAATCCTACAAACACTTACGCACATGCTCAACTTTACTACTGAGAACAGTCCCAGTATTTGAATAGGACTTACTACTCACAGTAGTAAACTTAAACACGTGCACAAGTGTTCGCAGGATTGGGGTCTTGGTGATGATATAAAGGATGGGTGGCCAGGACCTGCATAAAAGTCCAGTGATTTTCTAACTTCTTTCCATGATTAGTCTCTATTTTCCTTCATTATACCAACACAAACAGAAGAACAGTAATTCTTACTACATATTGCTTTGTAGTCGCTTTTTAACTCCCCAGAAAATATACATTCAGACTGATGCTTTCTCTGTCATTTATGTCTGAATAAAACCTAGTACTTTAACATATGACCTCATCTCTTTTAATCTACCAAATCTAGCCATGCTATATTGTTACCTTAGTTTTCCCCAGTTATTTTGCCATTCAGCATGCCCAGTCACTTACTTACAAGTAGGTTCTACTTGTTTAAGTTGTAGATGAAATATTATTCCACAGCCTATCTCAATAATAAGAAGCAGACTTTACTATACACCAATGTTCAAAGGAAGGGTAAAGTAATCCACGGTCATGGGCAATATGACTGAAAATACAGTACATGTCAAATCAAAATAGATATTTCCTACATTACCTACTTTAGCTTTGAAAGCGATGACTCCCTACCAAAGGGTCAAGAAGGACGTTAAATTCCAAGATTAAAACACTATATTCTACAGAAAAAGAGCCACTTTAACGCACTTAAAAGCTAAAATGCTACATCACTATGGTGAAATGTATTTTTAAAAGCTGCATAAGTGTTCTCAGCCCTCCAACATATTCTAAGGAAAACAGTAATGTCACCAACTTTAAATTTACATGGTGCCTTTTCACCCCAAAAGATCCCAAAGACACTTAATAAACCATATTTACATAAATATACATTTCACTTCACTCAACACTGAAGTGCAGCCATCTCCAGGGTTGAATAAGTAGTTCTTTAAGTAGTTCAGTATACAGCAATACTATACAATTGTTGGGGTCACACAGGGTAGTATACTGTCAGCATCCAAAGGAAACCGCACTGGAAATATAGGTAGGCAGAATGAAGCTACTAAATTGTAAATTTTGCCAGGTTACTAATGCTTGCACCCCTACTCATGGGCAATTGGTCTTTAATGACTATCAGAGATAAGATATGCTTAAAGTCTTTCCAAAAAGACTACACCACCGAGCCCTACAGGGCCCCCTGCTACCATGCTGGAGCATTAGTTTATCACGGACTCAGAATGTCACATCTACTAAATCATTTTCTACAGTTCTGAGTTTTCCATCGAAGAACTAATCAGGCTCAAACATGTTTGGAGATCTGATAAGATCACAGCCCAGTGAGATATGGCAGCAGACAGATACCTCCTACAAACTACCCTGAAAATATAAATGACATCTAGCAAAATAAATCATAAGATACCCAGAATATGATGCTTTGCTGTCTGGCAATAGCACTTTCTTCTTGGGGGTGTTTCCAAAGTTCTCTTCCTGTGTCTTCTCTCTTTCAGTCTTTGGAGCTCCCTCATAAGTAGTTTTTTCCATTTTCAATGGCTTTTGATCTAATGTTGGTTTCTCATTTTCATCTTCTATATGTGTTCTGCTCCACGGTGTTTTTTCTTCACTTTCCTTACCAGGTTTTTGGAAATTGCTGCTCAAAAAGCTACAAGATGGTAGTTTTAACGAGGATTGCTGTAGCTTGCAGTCTTTATTAACGGATGACAAATCATCTTCAGAAGGTTTCAAAAATTTATATTTCAAATTGCTTAGAGAGGAAACTGTCTCCTGACTTCGTTTTTCATCAGAATGTTTTGCTGCTTTGGAACAATTGTCTCTGAACTCAGAGTCTGTGCTACAATGTCTATATTCTCGTTCTTCTCTTGGCCTGTCTTTTCTATAATCTCTTTCTTCCAGTGGATATACCTTATTATGCCTATCTCTAGAATGTCCTTTACACATACCCTTGATTCTGTCACCTTCAACTTGTGTTTCTTTTTCCATGTGGTGCTCTCTCTCTTTTTGCTCATTCTCTGAATAGTTAAATTTCCTCCATCTTCTTTTTCTATATTCATTTTCCTGTTTTGATGCAGCTTCTTCAGCTTCTTCCCATCTTGACTGAAATATTTCCACTGACTACAAGACAGAAGGAAAAAATATAATGGCATTATTTTTAAAATTATGTCCATATTAATAACAAGCATGAGAGAGAGAATACATGATAGTGTTATATGGTATAACGGTTTTAGTGGTCTAAATTTGCGATGGCCACATAACTCATGCAGCTGTGATAATATCACAGGGGACATTTCTAAAACTAATCAGCATGGATATTTAACCTTTAACCATCACTGGAAAGAAATCAATGATTTACACAACCAGTGAAGTTTCTACCCAATATTTAGGCCTAAAGTCTGACTGACCAGGGTCAAGGAAATCTAAGAAACTGTATGCTTATCCTGTCACAAACTTCTGAATTACCTCTTTGTTTTTTTTAAAAAAAGGATATTACAGAACAGTATAGCAGTTGGCAGGCTGCATGACATTCAGCATCACCTTTTTTCAGTAGGGACCTCATGCTAGCTTTCCTGAAGAATCACTGGCACCTTGCCTCACTTAGGGAAACACAATCTCATCCACTTGCTGCCCCCAGTACTACTTCTCTGGCATTCACAAGCCAAGGAGGACAGGAGTCAAATTTTCTGGTTGTAGTAAGAAGCCATCCCAGCATCTCCAGAATGTCAGAGAGCAGCACTAACAAACTCAAATGAAGAAAACTCAGCATTTGTCCCCTTACAATATTCTTAAACCTATTCTTGGTATACAATTGAATACCATATATCCTGCACCTTTCACCAATAATTTTGAAGCCAATACCATGTTTTGCGGGGTGGGGTTGAGAGGTATGTTTTTGTGGCAGTTTGTTTTCTTAAAGGTTAGCTTTTGAAAACTACTCAGAGGGTTTAGCAAGTGAGAAGCATTCTTGGTAGAGATGGATTGCAGGTAAAGTGGCCAACAGATGCATGATAAAATTAATTTATCATATAACTCTCCAACTTGTTACATGGATAACACCATCACAAAGGGTATGTCTATACTTGGAGATCAGGGTGGGATTCTCAGCTCGTGTGGACACACTTGCTCTAGCTCTCATGGAGCTAGCATCCTAAAATTAGTAGTAAAGCCAGGGTAACATGGACAACGGTGAACAGCTGCGTGGGCTAGACGTCCGGCGTTCAAACCCGCATGGGGTACACTCCCAGCATGGCTACTCTGTGCTGCTGCCCACTGCTGCCCATCCTCCCCCAGCTATGCTATGCTTTTTAGCGTACTAGCTCGATGAGCACTAGCACAAGTGTGTCCCCTCAAACTGGGAATCATAACCCTTGCTCATACCGCAGACATAGCCAAACTTCTTGTGTGCACACCTGGGCAGAGGTCTGAAAGAAATATCTCTGCAAATACAGATAATTTTGGAAGGTGCTCAGATACCAGGATAATGGGGACCATATAAGAACCTGGGTGAAGTGAAAGATAGAAATATTTTAACTACAGTCTAGTACCCCATAGTGAAAAAAGGTAGCATGCAAAATCATGCAAATCGAAGTCTGACAGCATTAACGCCTTCATCACCTGATGGAAGTTTCAAGAATGGATTGTTTTCAGCAGAGCTTGATCATGTCTTAAGCTATACATTAAATACTTCTGCCTTTACAGGGATTTGACCTTTCCCAAAAGCTTAAAAACTGTAAACAAGGAGAATACTTTTCCTCTTAAGATGCTTACCCCATATCTTTCAGCTACAATTTCCTCAAAATTTCGTTTCTCTCTCTCAGCCTGCTCCTTCATCCTTTGATAGGATTTCTTTAACCAACTTAATCCACCATCTTCCACCATTTTAACTAAAGGAACAAAAGAATTAGATATGATATTTTTGTATTTCAGGGTTAGCTTTTATTACCTAACACTTATTGTATATGCTACATGCAGCACAGAAACTTAAATTAGCTCAGTTAGACTTTTGTATGCTGACATGGAGTACATCTAGCTTTCTACCTTCATGTTCATGCCCCAACTGAAAATATTGTAATAAAATATTGTCTTTCTTCCTATCCTGAATACATGAAACTGAAAACAGATGCAAATCTTCTAGTCTTTCTCACCAAATATTTCTTCTTAGAAATTTACATTAGTTGAATTCAAAGATGGTCAGTTTCTTGAAGAGTTGTAGTTTGTTGGTTTCTCTACTAGAACAAGCAGAACCAAACAGGGCTACCTGGGAGTATGGCATGGCTGCAGCTGGCACGGGTCAGCTGACTCGGACTCACGGGGCTTGGGCTGCAGGGCTACGAATTGATGTGTAGATGTTTGGGCTCAGGCTGGTGCCCAAACATAGGATCCCTCAGAGGGTCCCAGGCTCCAGCTCTAGCCCTGGAACCCTCCACTCTTGCAGGGTCCCAGAACTCGTGTTCCAACCTGAGCCCAAACCCATACACAGCATTTTTTCAGCCGCAGAGCCCAAGCTCTGCGAGTCCAGGTCAGCTAACTTGGCCAACTGCGTTTTTTTATCCCCATGTAGACATACCCATTGAGCCAGATGAGTCTCTCAGAGTTGACATTACAAAAAGTAGTAATTGAGGGTGCATGGTGGCAAGGTGCAGGGGCACCCCCAGAAATTTTTGACCTGGTACACACTATTAATCTCTGTGGAGCTATCCCCACTGCATCCACTGGCCCCTGTGCCTCGCCTGCCAAGTCTGTGTGACACTAAGCTGCTGCCTTCCAGCCTGGCTCACCCAGGTGCAGCATCACTTCCTATCCCTGAGGGGGGAAACAGGCTGCTGGAAGCAAGTCAAGGCCAGGCAGGCTCTTTTGGGGAGAGCCCTGGTGCAACAGCTATCTCCACAGCAATGGCAAGGAGCAGCAGCACTGGCTACCCCACTGCCCACTTAGGCAAGAACCTGTGGCACTGCAACCTCTGTGCACTAGGTTGCAATGCCACTCGCTCAATTGTGGCCCTGCTGCCCCCCATCCTGACATAGAAGGCCTGGAGCCAAATGTGAGGGGGCAGTCGGCATCCAACACCGCTACTCCTAGCCATTGCCAATAGTACACCCCATGCATAATGTGCATATGGCCACAGGCCCCACTCGCAAGATGTTTCACTGATGGAGTGTGGAAAGGTGATGAATCTGAATTGCCTGCAAGTGTCACATTTGAGGGGGAGGGACAAACAGAGTGCATCTCATGGAGCAGGTGTTCCTGGGAGAGAGATGTATTATTTATACAGCATCGTAACACGTACAAGGGATAAGGCATGGAAATAAAATACACAGTCCCTGTTCTGGGGATCTTACAACCTAATTTTAGACATGATATGATATGAACAAGAGCAACATACAGTAGGGGGAGAAAAAGGAAAACAGAGACAATAAAAGATTTCCATAGTTATTTAGTTTAACATTGTGCATATATTGATGGTACAACTGATTTTCTGTAATCTTCTCCATTTTGTTATTTCAACATATAATGGATGTTTTGCAGGAAGGAGCAGCACATGGACATTCCCTTTCTTGAGTCCACTTTCTGTCACCTCCCTCACATGCAAATCAAATCCCCCTTTCCTGCAAAACTAAATTAGTAAATAGATTCTTTTGCTGGGGATGTTAGTAGGGTTCCCAAGATCATGAAGGACTCTGCTGCTCTTCGCCTCTTAGGGAGAAGAGATGGCTCTTAGAGCCAGGCCATGGGTGTTCCTGTCCATGTGATCGCTGGCCTGAGGGAGACCCCTGGAAGCCCATAGTCCATACAAACTGCCCACAGAATAAGTGGGTATGGACTCCCAATATGGGCCCCTTACTACTCCCTACAACCCAGCATATAAGAGTCCTTCTTAATGTTTTATAAATGCTATGTGACATTCTGAAAAAATATTTCATAGCTGCACTTGCTGGAAATAGACAGGATAAGCCAAAGGTAAGGACTGAAGTGAAAAGGTTACAGAAATAATGTTTTTCACAAACTGCATTCTTAATGTATTTCATTTAAATGTGACTCACAGATTTCTGTAGTTGAATATTTTAAAACTGTAATTTGTGTAATGGAATGAAAGGAATCAAATGAGATGACAACAATATATCATGTCCTGGTGGAATCATTTTTTTCTTTAATTAGTTCAAATGAGAGAAAATCTGTGTAGAAACTGAAGGTCAAACCACTCAAGATTATAAATCAGTCAAGAAATATTCTGCAAAACAATGTATTATGATTTTAACCCAATATTTGCTACTGAAACAAGTTTTATTTCATTTGTCTTCATTGTATGTAATTGGGAGCCCTGCTATGCTGACCATTCAACAACGTAAACGTCTCTGAGGGGAATACATATAGCTTTTCTTACTAAAACTTGGTTTTTTACCTTTTTTAACTGAAGTTGCTTCACCCTCTTCTGGCGGTAAACCTGTTCCACCATCTTTCCAGTAGGGGTTCAGCTCTCTTTCAGAAATTCTAGACTACAGAAAACAATTTTCAACTGATGCACAAAAATCCACTTTGTCTAACAGCTGCTGTTACAACTTCTTAATTATTTTGTATGATCCATATAGAAATGTAATCAGTTTAAATGTACCCAAATGACAATCTCATTAACAAACCTGGTGCTGGAACTTCAAAACAAAAAGTTTGACAGGGCACTGTAACTTTCAATTTTTTAAAAAAAATACTAATTCATTAATTTACAATTGTACGTAGAAAATATTTATGAATGTTTTGAGGAAATGTGGGTCTTTTCTATATACAGTAGTACTGGACATCATTTTCTTCAATATTTTCTTCCAAAGAATAATCTCTGTAAGACTTCCTTTTGCAGTTCAGATGAGTGTACTTTCAAAACTACAGTTTGTTAAACAAGAACTAAACTAAACATTCCGCTACATCACTTCATAGCACTAAAGAATCCCACCTGAGCAGTGGTCCCATGGGCAGCCAGAGCAGCGGCTCCGGGGACAGCCGCACAAGCCTCTGCTCGGCAGCCCCCGGCTGCTGGCCCCTGGGACCACCCGAGCAGCGGCCAGTGGGGCTGGCCTCAGGGTCCACCCCCAAAGCAGCGGCTCCCTGGAACCCCCGCCCAGAACAGTGGCACCCGGGGCACCCCACCCAAAGCAGTGGCACCCCAGGGCCCCGCCCCAGCTAAGATAGGGGTATTTATAGTAAAGGTCATGGATAGGTCACAGGCCATGAATTTTTGTTTATTGCCCATGACCTGTCCGTGACTTTTACTAAAAATACCCATGACTAAATTGTAGCCTCAGTTATAAACTTACACTGGGCAGGCTTCTGACGAGGGCAGGACGGTACAGCCCTGCGGTCCTAGGCTGGGAAGCTGGGGGAATTATCTGCAGCCTCTCTATTGTTGGTTCATGAATTGGCTGGTGAAAGCATTCATGTAACTCAGATGGGTGTGTCCCGGTCTGTGGATGTATGTGTAAGTGCCGTATTTGGATGGGGTTTGCAGCTTGTCCCAGCATCACAGTGTGAGAGGGACCCGAGGTTGGTAAGACAGAGGGCTTAGCAATACCCCAGTTCCAGGTTGCACCCCAGGGAACCCGTCACAAGTAGGTAACTAGGATCTGTTCAAATATACCTTCTGAGAATCAGAAACTACATGTAAATAATCATATACCACATTCCTAATGCTAATATCCCTTAGAATTAAGAATTCATCATATATTTTTGGACTGAACACTGAAGACTCCTTTAGGAGTATAGAAAAGTTAAAAAAATAACTGAAAAGGCAACAACAAAACATCACCCCCTTCACGCCTTCTCAAAAGCTAGTAAGGACAACAACTAGGATGCTATAAATTGAATCCAAATAGAAATTGCATGCCAACACTGATGTTTCGTAGAGGCATAACAGCAAACTGGAAAACTCTACAATAGTGGGTGGTCAAAGGGAGGACTAAGGGCATATAAATTCTAGGTAATATTTGTCTGCCATCTGCCTGCAGAACTGAACAGAAGGTCAGCCCACCTAGTCTGCCAATTTCTACCTATTCAACAAATTCTGTAAAGTGATTCAAGTATTATGGCAGATAGGTGCCATAAAAATACAATTAACTTTTATTATTTAATCTTCTCACTCTAGTTTAATCATAATTTTTTTAGTAGAATTGTCTTTCTTCTTAACTGATGTTTAATTTTATGGGTTTCCTATCACAGGGTAAGCTTCCTAAAGTAATTTCTCTCCCTCATCCCAAACAAGTAACCTACCAGTATAAAATCACCACCACCATATGGCCAATAAATACTATTTTAAGAAGATTTTAAAAATAAAACTAATCTAAAAGAGGATTCATTTAAGCAATTTAGAGTACATGTAGTTTATAAAAACAGAAGTGTATGACAAAACTATACACTGCATTTAGGAAGATACAGAGAAAACTGGTGCAATATATAAATAATTCCTTTTACCTGTTCAATTGCTTGGGCTTTCTGTTGCTCCAATAACTTTTCAGTCTCTTTTTCAGCTTTGAGTGATGCTGCAGATGTGGTTTTCAGAGACATAAAATCTAAGGTCATCCATTCATCCCTCTGTAATAATACAAACAGTTTCATCCAAAACAAAATAATGCCCACACTCAGTAAACACCCATTTTCTGTAACAAAAATACACAGCTCAGGTATAAATCAAACTCACAAAATTACTGGTATCATTTGATATCTATAATATATGGTGTAGATTTTACAGTAGTTTCTAGCTTTCAAAACATTTTTGCATGCAAAACAAATATTCTAAAGACTTCAATCATGAAATTCACAAACATATACAGACGTTTACAGCTTTTCTTTGTAATTCCAGGTGTATAGTCTAGATGTGATTTATTTATGAGCAAGCACACTAGTAAATATGTGGTTGCATACAAATTCATTAGAGTAAATATGAGATTAGGAATGTCGTTCTTCACTGAACATTGTATGTTTGGACATCATTTTGCCAGATCACTTTACGTGCCACCTTACTCCAAAACCATTGAAGAATTAATGATTCTTACTGCATTTGGCTTCATGGTCTCTTTGGCCTAATTTAGCAGGCACAAAATCTGTAACTAATCATAGGGTGCAGTTGATAGCTCCCAGATAGTTAGGTACCCAAATGTGCCCATAAATCCGGTAGTTAAACACTTAACTTCTATTAATGTGTCAACAAATGCAGGTACAAAACCACATTCACAAATGCCAGATTGAGGCCATTTTAAATCTAAGGGCTATTATCTCAAGAAAAAAAATAGATTAAATAAACCATGATATAGGGCAATATACCACACTCAAACAGCTAAAGGCATATTTTCCTCCCTTCCCACAGCTCACACAACAACTACAACAAATACAATATTTGTGAAGCATGAAAAGAAAGCAGTAAAATACACATCGAAAACGACTAATTAACCAAAATCAAAATGTGAGACACATCCATGTGTATTCTAACAAAAAGAATGGAATTCTGATGCCATTCTAGAACAATGAAAAAATAGTGTTCATTCTGATCCTTAATCTTCAAGTCTTGAAGCACCAGTCTGAATGGCTGCCACTATGTTATGTCATGTTTCTGATTTACAACCAATGCTGCTAGATGATGCATCTGAGACAATTTCACATATATGAAATGGACGATACTCCACTTCCTAAAGGAGATTTGGGCTAAGGAGGAGGAACAAAAAGTGGGGTCATCTACAAAACCTCATCAGTTTACCATGGTGTATGAGGATAATTAAGGGGACACGGTAATACTAAGGTACAAAATATATAGGAATGACAGAGAAGGTTGTGCTGGTGGGGGATTGGACTGGATGTGCAAGAAAGCATAGAATCAATTAAAGTAAAAAGCTTAAATGAATCAAACTGTACCAGAGAATCTCTATGGCTAGAAATTCCATGCTTTAACAATATTATATAGCAATAGGACTACACTACCAACCACATGACCATAATGATGACAGTGATTGTGAAATGCTCAGGGAGACTGGAGAGACTACAAAGAATTTCAACTATCCTCATTAACTATCCTCATTAACATATCACCTCAGGATAGGATGCAGAGATAATATTTCTAGACACATTAATGACTGCTTCTTGGAGCAGCTTGTCCTGGGGCCCACAAAGGGAGAAGCAATTCTTGATTTAATCCTAAGTGGCGCACAGCCTCTGGTTCAAGAGGTGAATATAGCTGAATCACTCGGTAAAAGAAACCATAATGCAATTCAATTTCACATCCTTATAAGGGGGGAAATGTCAAAGAAACCCATCACAGTTGCATGCAACTTCTAAAAGGGGTACTGCACACAAACAAGGAAGCTAGTTAAATGAAAATTAAAAGGAATAGTCATAAGGGTGAAATGTCTGCAAACTGCATGAAGACTATTTAAAAACACCATAACAGAGGCTCAAGCTAAACCTATGTCCCAAATTAAAAAACAGCAAGAGGACCAAAAAATACCACCACTGCTAAACAGCAGAGTAAAAGAGGCAGTTAGAGGTAAAAAGGTATCCTTTAAAAATTGGAAGTCAAATCCTAGTGAGGAAAAAGGAGAGGACCGTAAAAAACTCTGGCAAGTATAGTGCAAAAGTAATAAGGCAGACCAAGAAAGAATCTGAAGAGCAACTAAGTAAAGACACAAAAACTAACAGCAATTTTTTTTTAAGTACATCAGAAGCAGGAAGACCACTAAGCAGTCACTTGCACACGGGATGATTGAGAAGCGAAAAGATTATTCAAGGAAGATAAGGATGTTACAGAGAAGCTAAATGAATTCTTTGCATCGCGCGCTTCACGGCAGAGGATGTGGGGCACATGCAGGGCCGTCCCTACCTATGGTGGTGCCCTACGCACCCCAAGCACCTGCACCACCCCACGGGGGGAGCGGCCATTCCGCTGGGGGGCAGGCCCGGCCCCTCCGCGGGGGGGTCTGCGCTTAAGGGCTGCAGGGCCGCGGGAGCAGGAGCTGTGAGGGGCAGCAGCAGGGCAGGGAGGCCCAGGGCAGTGTGGGGATTAGCAGGGGGCCTGTTGCCGGCAGCAGGAGTCGGGCTCGCCCCGCATTCACCGGTGGCAGCGGGAAGCAGAGTGACCCGACCCCAGCCCATTCCACTCCCCCAGCATCCAGCCCTGTTGCTTGGGGAGGGGGCTTGGAGGAAAGGGTCAGGCCTGCCCCCACACTCACCAGCGGCAGGAAGCGGAGCAACGCAGCTGGGAGCTGGTGGAGCAGGCTAGGGCCTGGTCGCTCTGCTTCCCACCGCCACCACTGATGAGTGCAGGGGCGGGCGCAACCCCTTCTGCCAGCTCCAGTACCCCTGCTAATCCCACGGGCCGCATCGCTCAGGGGAGGGGGCTTCGGGGAAGGGGTGGAATGGGGGTAGGGTGGGGGCAGAGCAGGGGCGGGAAGAGGTGGGGTGGGGCAGAGCAGGGACAGGAGCTTGGAGAAAGGGGTCGAATGGGGGCAGGGCGGGGGCGGAGATGGGGGGTTGGCTTGTGGATGGGGCTGGCCGCTGGAGCCAGGGCCGCATACACAGCATGCAGCTGCCTAGGGAACCATGAAACTTGGTGCCCCAAATTACGTGGTGCCCTACGCAGCTGCGTATTCTGCATATGCCTAAGGTTGGCCCTGGGCACATTCCCACATCAGAACCATTCTTTTCAAGTGACAAATCTGAGGACCTGTCCCAGGTTGATATGTCCATAGAGGAGGTTATGGAACAAATTGATAAATTAAATAGTAAGAAGTGACCAGAACCAGATGGTATTCCCACAAGAGTTCTGAAAAAACTAAAATATAAACTACAGAACTATCAACTGTAGGATGTAATCAATTGCTGAAACAAGCCTCTATACCAGATAACTGGAAGGTGGCTAACATAATGCCTATTTTTAAAAAGGGCCTCAGAGATGATCCTGGCTATTACAGGTCAGCGAGCCTAACTTCAGTGCCAGGCAAATTGATAGAAACTATAGTAAAGAACAAAATTATCAGATACAAACACCATTTTTTGGCAAAGCATCAAGATGGCTTTTGTAAATGGAAATTATGCCTCAATCTATTAGAATTCTTTGAGGGCATCAACAAGCATGTGGCTAATGGTGATCCACTTGATACTGTGTACATGGATTTTCAGAAAGCCTTTAACAAGGTCCCTCACCAAAGGCTTAAGGAAACTAAGCAGTTACAAGATAAGAGAGAAGGTCTTCTCATGGATCAGTAACCGGTTAAAAGATAGGAAATAAAGGGTAGGAATAAATGGTCCATTTTCACAGTAAAGAGAGGTAAATAGCAGGGTCACCATAGGATCTGTAGTGGTACCAGTGCTCCTCAACATAGAATTATAGAATCACAGAACTGGAAGGGACCTCGAGAGGTCATCTAGTCCAGTCCCCTGCACTCAAGGGAGGACTAAGTATTATCTAGACCATCCCTGACAGGTGATCATCTAACCTGCTCTTAAAAATCCCCAATGATGGATTCCACAACCTCCCTAGGCAATTTATTCCAGTGTTTAACCACTCTGACAGTTAGGAAGTTTTTCCTAACGTCCAACCTAAATCTCCTTTGCTGCAATTTAAGCCCATTGCTTCTTGTCATATCCTCAGAGGTTAAGAAGAACAATTTTTCTCCCTCCTCCTTGTAACAACCTTTTATGTACTT